TCTCTCTCTCTCTCTCTCTCTCTCTCTCTCTCTCTCTCTCTCTCTCTCTCTCTCTCTCTCTCTCTCTCTCTCTCTCTCTCTCTCTCTCTCGTGGAGAATTATGAAGGGTTCCATGCCCTACAGTGGACTGCAATCAGTCTCCAGCTGGGTACCAACCGCACTGCATTTGTTTCCCCCTCAAGGGTGGATAAGGTGGGAGGTAGCCATACTTCTCTGTCTGTCTCTCTCTGTCTCTCTCTCGTGGAGTATATGAAAGGTTCGTTGCCCTACAGTGGACTGCGATCAGTCTCCAGCTGGGTACCAAGCGCGCTGCATTTGTGCCCCCCTCAAGGGTGGATATGGGGGGAGGTACCCATGCTCAGATGCTTTAGGGTGGGACTCCAAGAGTTAATGACCTTGAAGCTGTAACAGACGCCATGGGTGGACCGAGGGAAGAGTGAAATCTGAATTAAAAGGCAAATCTGAGGACCAGGTCACACTACGTAGTACAGCAGACGCCGAGGGAAGAGTGAAATCTGAAGGAAAAGGCAAATCTTGGGACCAGGTCACACTCCATAGTACAGCAGATCCCCACAACACAACAAGATGCCTATGAAATACCAACCCTGGCTCCAACTCAATGCAGGAGAGCGGGGCAAGCTGTAGAGGACATGTCAGTAGAACTTTCAGTTTTTTTCTTTATCCACAAGCTTTGAACAGCAAGAACCAAAGAAGCAGGAGGTATGTCAGCATGGCCCACCAAGTCATGAAGGAGCATCCAGGTCAGTTAGTTGGGGGCAACGGAGCTCAGAAGACAGAACTGAAGAGAATGGATAAACCGTTTTGAGTGGCAAAGCTCGAAGCCAGTCGGAGAAAGCTCAGTGTATTCTGAATAGATGTAGAATTATTTTACTAGAATGCATTGGTTTGAAGGGATGGAGAAATCTTTCATGTGACTGAAGAGCATTGCAGATAGAAGGTCATCAATAGAGAGGGCAACCGCTACAGGTTGCCGAAAAAAAGGCTCACTGCAAAGGTGCTCTATAACACTTAGAACTTAAAAGGCCTTGATGTCAGATTTAAGTAACCAGAAGAACTAATGAAGTTGGTAAGAAAACAAAGAAGAAAGAAAAAGAGAAAAAGAAGTCATTGGTGTTGTAGGCGAGGATTGTTAAAAGGATATACTATATAGTATATAGGTGTTTATAGCTGTTAGCAAATGAGGGGGATATATATCTTTTGTGATATTTTGGCATTATTTTAAAGATTTTTTTTAAAGGCATGTTCATACTGACATCTGTCCTTGTTTTAATTGCCGGTCAGGTCAGGGAAGAACTAAAATCCTGCAAATCAGCAAAAGACTGAAATCCTGCAAACTGGTGAAAGAATAAAATCCTGCACATCAGCAGCAGATCTGAAATCTTGCGAATCCAAAATCCTGCGTATCAGAAAATTAAAGTTTCAAAAATATATAAAATCCTGAAAATCTGCGGAACAGTCGGAAAGTCAAAACTTCTTAAAATCAGCGAAAAACTGCAATCCTGCGAATCAGTGAAGGAGTTGGAAGGACAAAAATCCTGCAGATCAGTGCAAGAGTCAAGTAAAACATCCTGCAAATTTGTCAGACTGGCAGATTAGCAATTTCAGATCCTGAGGCTCTGTTTTCTTAACTCTCACATTGCATCTCTCTCTTGAGGCGGTTGCAGCAGCTCATGCTTTTTTATTTTGACTTTTCTTTTGTGGGACTATTTTGTGCGCAGATCATGTCCATCGTGCACAAGCATCTGATGACAACAGTGGAGGAAGAGAATTCCATGAAAGCATACCATGAAGAGATTGCACGGCGGGAAGAGAAGGTTTTGAAGTTCTAAACCACAACCAACATCACACTTTGAAGGTTCAAACTTCACAGTCTCCATCATGACACTCACGGAATATCAATCGAGCACTGCAGGCAGTTTCCATGCTAGCTGATTCATAACCGTACAGCTGAAACAAAAATAAAGGATGAAAGGAGGAAAAGCAAAAAAAAGGAAGGAAAACAAAGCAAAAAGAAAAATGAAAGCAGAAAGTTTCAATGCAGCTTGCTGTCCGGCTTGCGTCCTGCATTTCCGCTCTTCTATTTCTTCTGGGTTTGTTTTGCAAACGTGGTCTCCGTTGATCACTGCATGTACTATATGTGACTATGGGCCTCGACCGACTAGACAATGCTCTACATGTATCTGGACCTGAAACTGTCCCGGTCCACCTGAAATGTGTGCAAGTGTGTCGTTATCGTAGGCACCTTGCACTCAACTACGCCAACCTGGCGATCCTTGCATTGGAGGGGTGCATTGAAAATGAAGAGCTCAAAGAAGAAATAAAAGAGGAACCGGACTGATGTTCCTCAGAACAGAATGGACCGAGGATAATATGGGCCCTTTCTTTTCCTTTTTTATTTTATTTTTATTTTTAAGAAAGACCTACAAAGAGAAAAAGGCAACAAGACTGGTTTGAGTGTGTCTCATGCTGTCCGCTCTTTCTGCATTTGTTTCGCAAAGTGCGTTCCTGTAATTGACAGAAAGAACTACACGGCAGAAGGTAACAAGAAGAATGGTTTCAGTGTGCCTCATGCTGTCTTCTCTT